TAACAACAGAGTGAATGTAATGTTTCCTGGCAGAAAAACTCAGTCCATTTATAAGTAAAATACGGAAAAAATTGATTTTTTTTTTACAAAATTTACTTTTGAATATTATCTTATGATCATAAACAAGCTTCTGTCCAAGTTTGGTAGAAATCCAGGATAGTTTAAGAAAGTTATTAAAATTTCAAAAACTTTAACCACAGAGTGAATATTTGTGGTTGCCGCCGCCGACGACAACAACGACGACGACGATGACGACGCCGACGACGGAATGTAGGATCGCTATGTCTCGCTTTTTCGACAAAAGTCGAAGGCTCGACAATAAAGTATCCATGCAGAAGTAAATTTTGTAAAAAAAATATCCTGTTTTTCCGTATTTACTTATAAATGGACTTAGTTTTTCTGCCAGTTAACATTACATTCACTCTGTGGTTAAAGTTTTAAAAAATTTAATTACTTTCTTAAACTATCCTGGATTTGTACCAAATTTGGACAGAAGCTTGTTTATGATCAAAGGCTAGTATCTAGAAGGAAATTTTGTAAAAATAAATTTCCTGTTTTTCCGTATATTACTTATAAATGGACTTAGTTTTTCTTCCAGTTAACATTACATTCACTCTGTGGTTAAAGTTTTAAAAAAATTAATAACTTTCTTAAACTATCCTGGATTTGTACCAAACTTGGACAGAAGCTTGTTTATGATCAAAGGCTAGTATCTAGAAGGAAATTTTGTAAAAATTTATTTCCTGTTTTTCCGCATATAACTTATAAATGGACTTAGTTTTTCTTCCAGTTAACATTACATACAGTCTGTTGTTAAAGTTTTAAAAAATTTAATAACTTTCTTAAACTATCCTGGATTTGTACCAAACTTGGACAGAAGCTTGTTTATGATCAAAGGCTAGTATCTAGAAGGAAATTTTGTAAAAATTTATTTCCTGTTTTTCCGCATATAACTTATAAATGGACTTAGTTTTTCTTCCAGTTAACATTACATACAGTCTGTTGTTAAAGTTTTAAAAACATTTATTAGATTCATAAACCATTCTGGATTTTTACCAAACTTGGACAGAAGCTTCTTAAAATCAAAAGATATTATCTATAGGAACATTTTTAGTTATTTTTTCCCCATTTTTGTTGAGCCTGTGACTAGCAGCAAAAGTAGGCGAGATACTGGGTTCTGCGGAACCCTTTCGAATTTTTTATATAGATTAGACCGTTGGTTCCTCGAGGTTGGTTTTCCTGTTTGAATGGTTTTACACTAGTCATTTTGGGGCCCTCTTTAGCTTGCTGTTATGTGTGAGCCAAGGCACCGTGTTGAAGGCCTATTATGGTTTACTTTTACAAATTATGACTTGGATAAAGAGTTGTCTCATTGGCACTCATACCACATCTTCTTATATCTATTTACACTTGTAATATTTATACTGACACATAAATCATTTTTGAATTGAGATTAGCAGAAACATTAGAAATGATCAGATTTTGTTATATTATATGCCTATCTTATAGTTAAGGAGAATTTCATTTTTTTCAAAACATAAGAATTTTTCCTCGAAATTATCGTTGACCACTTGCATGTTGTAGTTCATTGGTTTAGATTAAAAATAGATATACTTACGAGAATAATAATAGAAATTCATGTTGCCGATTCATAAGTGAAAAGGTCAAATGTATATAGGCATAAGCATGTTAAAATTATATTTGTCAGAAGAATTTGTGGCATTTTATAGTCAAATCTTATTGCGCTGCTTGATTATGAAAAAAATACAAAATAAAATATCGCACCAACCTTGCACCAACATGATTTTGTATCTGGGGTTTGATATGTATGAACTTGTCTAAATGTTAAAATTTCAAATTGGTGCAAACATGATGTGGTGGTCAAAAATGAGGAAAACCACCCCAGTTTCTTTATTTTTGCTCATATTCCCGATAATGACGTTATTGACACTTAAAATTGTGACGTCATTAACATTTTTTGTTAGATAAAAACAGTGAATTTCAAATTTCTAAACATTTGAATGTCCCTACTATGTATTGACTATCTCAGTAAGTACACACGACAAACGTCAAATATCGTTTCATCTCGCTTCTAAGCAAGTGTTCTAAAACAAATATTTCAGTACTTTTAACCAGAGACATATGTCTCTGTTTAACTATATAAAAATATGGAGATGTGGTATGATTGCCAATGAGACAAATATCCAACCAAGTTCAAATGAAGTGGATGTAAGCAATTATAGGCAACCGTTTGGCCTTCAACAATGGTAAAACCCTATCAAACAGTTCCTGCTTACTACTTCCAAATAACTTATTATCAACTTTTGTAATAAAGCATTTGGAAATAATAGGAATTAATTATTGTTGGAGAGTCACGAAAAACATCTTTGGATGTTTCAGATGAATTACGTGCTTGTGATTGTCCTTTCAATTTGGTTGACAGTTAAGACTTTTCTACTCTCTACACAACACTTCCACGCAATCTCATCTAACATACATTTTCTTATTCAATTAAATGGTCCTTTAAAAAATCTGATTGTGATTTTATTTGCTGCATACCAAATAAAGCTTTCTTTTGTTGTATAAGAGGTGAATATCATAGAGTATATATGTACTGGAAGTGCGATGAGTTTATTGAAGATGTAAATTTTCTCCTTGCCATGATTGATTGTTGGTTTTAACGCCATTTTCAGCATTATTGGCTATATCGTGACGGCTCTTTTTATTGTAAGAGGAAGCCAGATTGCCTTGATAGAACCACCAACCTTCGACAAGAAAACTGGCATTGCCAATTACGCACATGCTGATAGGCTTGTGATTCCTGTAGATAAACGTCTTACAGAATACTCAGCCATCGAGACAGCATTTTCTCCTTGACAACATATTTGTACATTTTGGTAATACAGTTTATGGACAGGGTGTAGGTATTATTCATATGGGCACCAATTGAGCCCCTTTAATAGATGACTTAATTGTTCCTGTATTGTTATGAATCACAGTTTATGGCCAAACTCGGTTAAAGATCCATCGTAATCCCATTTAATTCATGAATTCAATAACACTCACTGTTACCATGACGATATTTTTGTGTTAGTGTTGCTCTCCGCCAATTGCAATTCCAGTCATGCTTTAGTTTTAGACTGTTTTTTCATTATAACATTGAAGTGGAATGAAAGTCTTATATACCAGGGTAATTGTAAGTATGCTATGACATCCAAGCTGTCAAGTGAAGCCATATAATTATACAAGTTCTTTGATTTACTGGTAAACATTACATTCATCAGTGACACAAAAGCGTTATTAATGTTGACATCGATGGAAATAAAAAATTCGTAAGGGTTCCACGGAACCCAGTGTCTCGCCTACTTTTTGCTGTTAATCACAGGCTCAGCAAAAATGAGGAAAAAAATTAATAAAAATATTCCTCTCTATACTATCTTTTGATTGTAAGTAGCTTCTGTCCAAGTTTGGTAAAAATCCAGGATAGTTTATGAATCTAATAAATGTTTTAAAAACTTAAACTGCAGACTGTATGTAATGTTAACTGGAAGAAAAACTAAGTCCATTTATAAGTAAAATACGGAAAAAATGGAACAAAATTTCCTTCTAGATACTAGCTTTTGATCATAAACAAGCTTCTGTCTAAGTTTGGTACAAATCCAGGATACTTTAAGAAAGTTGTTAAAATTTTAAAAACTTTAACCACAGAGTGAATGTAATGTTAACTGGCAGAAAAACTAAGTCCATTTATAAGTAAAATACGGAAAAAATGGAATTTTTTTTTTACAAAATTTACTTCTGGATACTAGCTTTTAATCATAAACAAGCTTCTGTCCAAGTTTGGTACAAATCCAGGATAGTTTAAGAAAGTTGTTAAAATTTTAAAAACTTTAACCACAGAGTGAATGTAATGTTAACTGGCAGAAAAACTAAGTCCATTTATAAGTAAAATACGGAAAAAATGGAATTTTTTTTTTACAAAATTTACTTCTGGATACTATCTTATGATCATAAACAAGCTTCTTTCCAAGTTTGGTACAAATCCAGGATAGTTTAAGAAAGTTATTAAAATTTTAAAAACTTTAACCACAGAGTGAATGTAATGTTTCCTGGCAGAAAAACTAAGTCCATTTATAAGTAAAATACGGAAAAAATGGAATTTTTTTTTTACAAAATTTACTTTTGAATATTATCTTATGATCATAAACAAGCTTCTGTCCAAGTTTGGTAGAAATCCAGGATAGTTTAAGAAAGTTATTAAAATTTCAAAAACTTTAACCACAGAGTGAATATTTGTGGACGCTGCCGACGACAACGACGCCGACGGAATGTAGGATCGCTATGTCTCGCTTTTTCGACAAAAGTCGAAGGCTCGACAAAAATAGAGACTGACAAATTTTTTGGGAATGAAATTTTCAAAAAAACGGAAAGATTTGAAATATTAACATGAGGGACGGAAGAGGGCTTAAAAATCAGAGATTTCAACTCCCGCCAGAAGAATCACATGTCTGTCATTTTTTGCTGTTTAAAGTTTCTGTCTTATCTATTATTATTTTAAAAGGTATTAGGTAAGATCACTTAAATTGATCATAAATTTCAGTTTTATTGAATTGTTCGTATTAAAATCTCCTTTTGCTCATCCCAAGGATTTGTATAGTAATACTATACAAATCCTTGCTCATCCGTTTTTGTTGTTAACAGTTATCAGTTTTAAATATTTTAAAAGATAACTTTCATTTTAGCCCCAATGTTCTATTTTTAGCCCGGGTTGCCATATTTTAGCTGTGACCAAATTTCATGTAAATAGACTTATTGGTGATAATGACAAAGATGGATGCCACATAGTGGTAGATCTAAAAGGTTAACAGACTGAACAATCTCATTGCAAGGTATTCATACTAATTTTGTTGGCCTACCAGTAGTTGAAATGAAAAAGTGCTCACAATGTAAGACAACAATGTCCTGTTACTTTCTTAGCAAATGAAAACAGGAACACATACTTTGTTTATGATTTTTTTATTCATATGATCTTTTTTTAAATTTAGAACAAGCAGACAAAAAAGGATGCACAATTTGATCTTACATTTACATCGTCATATATTCCTAAGATATGTACATTTAAAACTATATACTGCTTACTCCCTTTCATTCACCATATCTGTAATAATGCTTCAAATAAACAAAAATAACTAATCACCTTGAATCTTGTTTGTAACATATATTAATTTGATGATCATGGTAAACCAAAAGTTGTAATATGGACTTAAGGTGTGAGATAACAGTGGCATACTTCTGAATATAAGGTTTCTGAGATCTGAACAAAACTTAATTCAAGTCACTCAAGTTTTGATAAACAGTGGTGAACTCCACAAGAGGATAAATTTGATCAAATTTCATTGGTTTCTAAAACAGTGGATTTTACACAAAAATTTAGGAGTCAAGGCAGACCATGGTATATCTTTATGCCATAAAAACCAAGGTGGCTGAAGTACAAAACAATGTTAGAACTATATGAAATGAAATTCAAACTCTTGTGGGATTTGTTAAAAATCCAGCTGACATGTTTAATTTAAGCAATGCATGTATTTACATGTACTATATGAAGGACGTTTTTATACATGTATGAGGTTTTAATAATTTGAACACAATTATAGAAGATTTTTTTTCGATTCAGAATAAAACAAATTTTTAGAAAAGATTATTGGATTTTAATTAGAAAAGTCTAACAGATTACTGGTACTTCCTAAATAGTTTAAAACTTTTCCTCAGCCTTAAATGACATCTTTGATAATTTCATATTGTATATATACACTTTGTACATGCCATGGCATTAAGGCACTAATATGTTCTAGGCATTGTCTAAAAAGCTAAACACATAGGTGCATTTGAAGTGCAAAATTTCTCCTTTGAACTTGGATTGTAAGTACTTGTTAGTAAGAATGAGTTTGAGAAACAAGTTCAAACAACATCAAAAAGTAAAACCCCTAAAGACCTTGATAACATGAGAGCAACAACTAAAAAATATATAATAAGACAGCATTTTTTTGTTTAACTAAATAATGTTGCAGCACTGGGGCTAAAGTAAAAAAAAAAAACAAGTTATTCATATAACAACTAGTATTTTCTCAAGACATTAAAGTCACAAACACCAAATATTCAATAAAATTCAGCTTATTAAAAAAACTTTGGTAGTAGATCCCTATTGAGCTATTACATCTTTTAAAATGAAAACAACCAACATGTGGTCAATTAAGGTAGGTTAATGTAACCTTTAATTTTTTAATCAATTGAATGAGATTTATAGACTAAAATTTCAATCAAAAGCAAATGGGTTCATTTACAAAACCAAGAAAAAGCCAAAAAATCCATTTACATACTTTAGCAACTATATACATCATCATTAGGATTCATCTTATATTGGTGCCATGCTTTGATTATTATGATATAAATAAATGTTAAATTCAAATACCTGTCCAGATTTGAAAAAAAAAATTGTGCAAAATACTTTCCAACTTCAAAAGTGATAAAAACTTCTACACATCCCCAGGAAGGCACCTTGGAATCACGTCTGCCTATTAATTTCAACCTTATAATAACTCTGTGATAATTAAGATCATTTCAACATCCATCACCAAGATATTATTGCCTTCCTTGGGTACACATTGTGTGTTGATAAAAAAGCTGTTTTAGACACACACAAAAAAAAACCAACACTTCCTTTCAACAATAGCATCCAAGAAATAAAACAATTAAATTAATAATAAGCACTTACAGACACTATGTACATATATAAATAAGAACTTAAAACACCCAAGTCACATGGAAATTTTAATATATGGCCTGAGTATAAACAAAAATTGCTTTCCAAAACTTGGCCGTAATGTGATTTCCCCCTCTAAGACCTGACTAGAACTAACATGTCCTAATCACATGTAATAATGAATTTCATGATTTATTATCTTTTTGAAATAGGCACCTCATTACTTCTATTCAATCTTTTACTGAATATATTTTCCGACAGTCTTTTGATCGGTATCTATTGAGCCCAAAAAATTCAAAGTGATAGAACACTTGCAGCATGGAAGCTATACAACAGGAAAAATCTGGATTGAATAATACACTGACAGTAGAGGTCTCTGATGTCTCATTATAATCTCTTGACTGTGTATAACCATCTTATGGCACTTGCTAAGAGTAAGATGCTAGTATTTGAAATTGGTCAGTAAAACTTTACTTTCAATAAACATCAGAGTTTGCATTCTGATTTTGAACAATTCCTGCATTTTCAGAATTACCTAAAATGTGCAGTCAGTGTTCTGTGTTATTATAATAATGATAGTTTTCTGTACTATTATTCTCTTAAAAAAACACTGCATAAACTACATGTATAATGTGTTGTCCATATTCTCAACAACAATGTTTATCAATATGGATAAAAAAAAATTATTTTATAACATAATTTGAAAGCACCACTAAATTCATACTTTTCAATATCTACATTAAATTTTTTGAAAAAATTCATTACTGCTAGAAAAAAATATATATAACAAACTTGTATGTAATGATAAAAAAAAAGATATGAAATTTATAAACCCTTTCACCGCTGAAAACTTAAAATGACTATTTTTATCAATTTCTTTTAATATCTGTTATATTCTTAATAGACCACACATTCAACCAAAATATAATTTCATTCAACAAGAAAAGTTTTGTCTTTGAATGTTGGTATGCTGTCATGATGATTCAGAAAAAAAATAGTCTGCCGTGTAGAAAAAGTTTTGTTAATTTGTTAAACTATGTCTATTTTTCTTATTCTATTAATTTCTTGGCCTTGAAGTATCTCCTTAAGTACAGAACCTGCCATGTTGCTAATCCTAAAAGACAGCACATTGAGAAAATACTAAAGTACATCACACGTGAATGAGTGGATTCTGAAAAGAGAAACAAAATACATGTAATCATATGTATAAGTTACAGGAAACAATACAGCAATTCATTAATTATTTTTTGTACAATTATGACCTATAACATAAGATGGATTGATGAATGAATGTTTAACATACAGTGGCAAATTAAATGAAATATCAGGATGAGAACATGTTATTATGATATGAAATTGAATCCCACATAGTACTAAATCAACATACTGAGCTGAATTTTTAATATGCCAGTTCAATAGAAGGTCAGCAGGAAGACATGTCACTCTAACAGAGATGCAACCAATTCCAATTTTCAAGTCTTTGGTTTGACCTGGATGAGGATTGAACCCATGACCTCCCACACTTGAGAGCTTGCTACAATGAGACCACTGAGGCAGTCCATAACATAACATATATATATATATATATATATATATATATTTTCCCCAAGTTTATTGTGTTCTGTTTGGTAATAAATTAATGATAAGATCTATTTTGTTACATCTTGTGATCTGTTTATTTGGCATTCGCCAATGGCAGTCAGCAGGGTTTAAGAACATCAGTTGTTCTACCTGCTAGTCAAATGCGTTTTGTTAAAATATACTTTTTCACTCATTTGGTCTTTTGGAAAATGTTGTTTGTGCTGTATTTAGACCCCTCTACCAAGAAATTTGTTTTGCATGCACACGTATAAAAATTGCGGTTTTTATCCAATGCAATCATAGGTTTGAACGTTGTTTTCAATTTAGACTTGTATATATATATATACAGTAAGACAAAGTTTGTATTTTACCCTCTGTCTAAGTTACAAAGGACAGTAACTTATCTTCAGAAAAGCATTACTCAATATAGCATTCTTTCATGAAACATTTTAACAATACAGTCTATTGATAACATTACCATTGGTATCTCTCATTTCTTTTTCTCTAGCCTTCATATATTCAAAATCATCTACTATAGATTTGGATAAATCTTCTAATCTCCTCAACTCAACTTCCAAAGGCTTTAATTTTTCTGCTTTAGCTAACTGAAAAATAAAACAATTTAGGTTGTAATTTTCATGTTTAGGTTTTACAGTCATGAAGATCCCATGAACATAAATAAAAAAAATTACAAGAAAGACGTCAAACCCAATTTGATAATATCATAAAACAAGAAATTTCATCTGTAATGTATTCAAACCCCATAAAAAAATGGATATTCATCATGTTTAGCCATCCAATAAATCATTCAAACTTTTCACTACCTCCATTTTTTATTTCAAGACTGCAAACGTCACCTTGAATGGGCATTTCATAATAGAGACCCTTCAAAAATCTAAATAAGATTAAAAAATAAAATACAAATTAACCAGCTTCCACCTATTCTAAAACTTTGAAAAGAAATATTTAAAAGGTTTTACATCAAGTTTTTGCATGTCTGATGCAACATATGTTCATAATATGCCACAACAAAGGAGTTACATGTATCTGCCTGTACCATTGAAAATACCACAGAAAAACTATCTTGATAATGAATAGAATCAGGGAACTAAAGACAGTTAAAATTAAAATATTAAGAAGCCAATGAGACAACTCTCTGGCACCAGAGACCAAATAACATACATTGTAGAAGTTAGTTTTCTAGATTTAAGTACAAGTAAGCTAATTCAATAGAAGTGAAAATGCTTTATTCCCATTAAATGGACTCACAAAGAGCATTTTACAATATAAGTCATTATTCAAACAACAACAAAGAACAATAATCAAGTATACATACAAAGAAAAGAAAAAGCAGTTTGAACATGAATGAACTACACACACATATAAAAATATATATATATACGTTTACAAGTGTAATACCTCCTTCTCAGGCACACCCCAACATGAAAAAGTGCTTTAAATAAGGTCCCAAAAAATATATGTCTGTTTAGGTTACATCATTAAAAAAATAGGGTAGGTAGGTCGGTATTTCAATTTTACTTTATTTTTTGCAAAATGATTTTGAGTTGTGTGGTCCAAGTTGTCCATGGGCTGAGTTTTCCTGTATTTTTAATGATTGGATCATTTCCCTTGGTTATTGGTTGAAAAAAAAATGGCAGCAAAGTGTTTATTTCATCACACAAGTTGCAAGTTTCTTAAAACAGCTGTCATATTCACTTTTGTGAACATTTAGATGCATCAGGCAATTGATTTATTTTATTGGCAACTCTAACTTTGATTTTGACATGAGTTGAGTTAATTTTTCACTTTACGACGGGAATAAAATGACTTAGGGTCGGTCAGGTAACCGTGAACAGACATATATTTTTTTTGGGCCTAAATTGGCAATTTATTGGATATATAACTTAACTGCAAAAGCCACCAAGGGATGGTGCTGAATGGCAAGGTGGGAGATAGACGCACATAGTATACTTGTATGTAAATAGACAATTTGGTTTAAATGTTATGAGCAGATGCACAAACCTGGTATGTCATCCTTGTGCCTGATGCAGAGGGGTTGATAAATATTGTAAGACTAAGGTGACCCAACTGCAAGATGCCCAAGTATACATAGTACCAAATAGAAAAATACTCATATTTAATATACCGGAATATGGGAATAATTGTATTGTCAATGATAAAAATAAATACAAAAAGAAACACTTTTATTGGTGAATGTAGGTAATCACCATGCCATCCTCATGCCTAGTGCAGAGAAGCTAGATCTATATTTTTCCATCATCAATCAGATCACAAACAGATATCAATATATCAACATTCTCTACAGTTAGAAGCTAGATCAGTTTCTGGGTAGAAATCAGGTGTTTAAAGTTAGGACAAAATGAGTTAATCTTGGAGTACATGCAGTTTCTCCAAGTTAAAGATGATGTGCATGAAAATAAAATAAATGGGGAATGTGTCCATGGGCCACAGATGATGCCCCCGCTTGCATATCATATAAAGTTATAAAGGGACATAACTGAAGAACGATAAAAGTCACACCACCAAAATTCAAACTTGATCTGTATTTTGTGGTAATAAGCTCAAGCATTGTGTATAAGTTTCATAACATTTAATTGAGGCAAACTAAAGTTAGAGAACGGAAATGAAAAATTCAGCAATTTTCCCATTTGTAAAGGGGCATAACTAAAGAACGGTTAAAGTGACGCCACCAAAATTTCGAACTTGATCTGTATTTTGTGGTAATAAGCATTGTGTGTAAGTTTCATAATATTTGATAGAGTCTAACTTGAGTAACAGAACGGAAACGAAAAATTCAGCAATTTTTCCATTTGTAAAGGGGCATAACTCTAGAACGGTTAAAGTGACGCCACCAAATTTCAAACTTGATCTGTGTTTTGTGGTAATAAGCATTGTGTATAAGTTTCATATCATTTGGTTGAGGCAAACTAAAGTTAGAGAAGGGAAACCAACTTTGGGACGTATGTACGGACAGACAAGGGTAAAACTGAATGCCCCCTCCGAAAGGGGGGGGGGGGGGGGGGGGGCATAAAAAATATTTTTCTTCATCAATTTCATTTGAAGTGCACCTGGGACATACTCAGTTTTGATTATTCTAAGTCTACGTGCCGAAATATGCAATCAAGTGAAATTTTTCCTCCACTCAGGGGATCCCAATAAAATTAGAAAGGCTCGAATATTTGAGTTCATCTTTTCCATTACTAAAGGAGGCATATTTAGGAGTCAAAATTACTACACAAGTCAAAAATTCTGTCATGGTATGAATCCTTAAAACTTCTTTCTAAAGAATATTAAAGGGGTTGGCAGTTTAGCTTACACAGCTTCAATTCTTGTGTCATGTTTACTGCTAGAATAGAATTTAGTCATGGTTGATTGCAAGGAATTAACGTTTTTACCAAATAATTCTTGAGAAACTTGCACACTTTTATTTCTATGTTACTTTATTGTTTTGAGTCTAAAGAATTCAAATTTTACTTTATTTAGGCATGTTGTAATGTTTTGTCAATTGTTTAAAATCTATATTTTTAAGGTCATTTTTTAAGAAGTAAAGAAACATGTATATGTAACCTTACATCATCATACTGTTTTGCTTCTACACCATGCTTTAAATCCAACGTTACTTCTGTGTCTGAACCATGTCCACCTGTCAATTATAAATAACTTTAATATCATGGCAAAATACAATGTAATGTCAGTGTTTTTCTGCATTTCTGCAAATACAGTAATGTATTCATTTCTTGTTACAAATATGTACAATGTACTTTTTAAGATAAACATAAAAAATAAATGGGGAATGTGTCAATGGGACACAGATGATGCCACCGCTTGCATATTATATAAAGTTATAAAGGGACATAACTGAAGAACAGTAAAAGTGACACTACCCAAATTTTTACTTGATCTGAGTTTTGTGGTAATAAGTATTGTGTATAAGTTTCATAACATTTGGTTGAGGCAAACTAAGTTTAGAGTTAATCAAGTTAATTAAAACTAAAGTTAGAGAACGGAAACGAAAAGTTCAGCAATTTTTCCATTTGTAAAGGGGCATAACTCTAGAACAGTTAAAGTGACGCCACCAAAATTCAAACTTGATCTGTGTTTTGTGGTAGTAAGCATTGTGTATAAGTTTCATAACATTTGGTTGAGGCAAACTAAAGTAAGAGAACGGAAACCAACATTGTGACGTACGTATGTACGGACAAAGGTAAAACTTAATACCCTTTCAACTACACCGGGGGCATAAAAAAAGTATCATACAGTATAGCGTGGATAAATAATCTGGTTTGCCATTGCAAAAATAATAGAGATGCAACAATATGTAAGAAATATTTTCAGTGCACTTTGTGATATCTAAGTAAAGATTCAATACATACTTCCTTACCACCACTGTGGAGAAATATTTTATCAGTACCTGCAAAGTTGATGTTAACATCAATGGCATAAGTGCCTTACTCTTACAAAATGAGACAAGAAGGGAAATAAACTGTTGAAACAGAGATATGTCTTGCCTGTCGGCACAAAATTCAGAAAAAGACAATCTGATGGAACTGGACCATGATCTAGTGGGCAGGGCCTCAAAATGGTCAACAAACTGAGATGACTGACAGTAATGTAATTTTATAGAAAATATCGTTGTCTCTTGTAAGCAGTTCCTATCAATCTAACTTTAGCAGAAAACTTTACATTGAAAATTGCTCATTAATTCAAAGTCACAGGACCATGTCCTAGGGGGCAGGGCCTCAAAATAGACATCAAATTGATATGTACTGATAGTAGTGCAACTCTATATTTAATATCAATGATCTACCACAAGTAGTTCCTATCAAACTAATGGAACTAAACTTATTTAAGCAGACCACTTAACAATTGTTGACGCCTCCGTCGTTGTCGCCTTTGTCTAAAAAGCAATCCCTATGTCTCGCTTTCTGGACTTTCATCATAGCCGAGACATAAACTGATGATTTTATTCATATTCAAAAACACTTTAATCTTTTTTCCAAGAAAACACTTAAATGTGTCTTAAGGCAAATAAAATCATGATCACTTTACTTTTGTTTTATTTTGTAATCTTGAGTAAGGCCTGTATATAATTGATATCAAGGAGGGGGAGTCGACAGTAGGGATAAGTTATATGCAATGTCTGGAACAGTCATTGACAGTATAGTTAGTTAAATTTTCATAAACATCAGACTCAGATTTCACAAATCTTTTGTTTTCGCCTGTTGGTCATTAGGGCCACCAAAACTGAAAATATCTAGGTCCTACTGAAAATTTGTTAATTCTATATTCAAAAGGAGACTTTTTCACTGCTTAAAACAGTTTTGACCATAGGTAGCATTTTAAAAAGTTGAGATATATATAAAAAAAAAAGTACTTGACCAAAGGCCAGCTATAATTTACAGGAGTCTACATGTGATATCAAATTTTAAGGACTTTGAAAGAAAAGAAAACTAGATGTGTCGGAATGACACGAATGGCCCCGTCTCAAAAAGTTTTAAAAAATACTCCGCAGGGCGCAGCTTGATACGACCGCAGAGGTCAAACTCTGAACAGTTGGGGCAAGTATGGACACAACATTCTAGCTTGATACAGCTCTGAATTTGGATTGTGATTAAATATTTGACACAGCATAGGTTTCTGACACAGAATGAATGTGGTCTAAGAACTTAAAAATTTTAAATTAGACATTCACCTATTATGGTCCAATATCCAAAATCTAAATACATGGTTAGATTCAGCATATCAAAGAACCCCAAGAATTCAATTTTTGATGAAATCAAACAAAGTTTAATTTTGGACCCTTTTGACCTCAATGTGGACAAAGTTGATAACGGGGCCCAAAAATCAAAATCTAAATACATGGTTAGATTCAGCATATCAAAGAACCCCATATATTCAATTTTTGTTGAAATCAAACAAAGTTTAATTTTGGACCCCGATTTGGACCAACTTGAAAACTGGGCCAATAATCAAAAATCTAAATACATGTTTAGATTCAACATATCAAAGAACCCTAAAAATTCAATTTTTGTTAAAATCAAACTAAGTTTAATTTTGGACCCTTTGGACCTTAATGTAGACAAATTTGAAAACGGAACCAAAAATTAAGAATCTAAATACACGGTTAGATTCGGCATATCAAAGAACCCCAATAATTCAATTTTTGATGAAATCAAACAAAGTTAAATTTTGGACCCTTTGGACCTCAATGTGGACCAATTTAAAAACGGGGCCCAAAATCCAAAAACTTAATACACGGTTAGATTCAGCATATTAAAGAACCCCAAGAATTCAAGAATAAACCCCATTGAAATTGATCAAGAAATAAGCAATTTATACGAAGTATCTTCTTTTGCACAATACTGTGCAATTGAATATTTCTTGCTATTGCGCAATACTGTACAATTGACAATTTCTTGCTATTGCCCAATATTGTGCTATTGGATATTTCTTGCTATTGCGCAATACTGTGCAATTGAAGATTTCTTGCTATTGCGCAATACTGTGCAATTGAAGATTTCTTGCTATTGTGCAATACTGTGCAATTGAAAATTTCTTGCTATTGCACAATACTTATTATATAATAATTTACACATCCTGTTTGGTGTGTATCTCCTACCATATCATTATTATTTGCTTTTAAATATAAATCAGAAATAACCAACTTAAAATGGAAAATTTTAAAAGAAAAAAAAAAGGAAAAAAAGAAAGAAAAAAAAATCCCCCCCCAAATTTTTTGAACCCCCTTATGATTCATCACCCCCAAACTCAATCCCAGCCTTCCCTTTGTGGTATGGTACCTTGCAGTACAATTTCAGAGAGATCCATACACTTGAACACAAGTTATTGTCTGGAAACTAGAAAAATGCTTATTTTTGGCCCCTTTTTGGCCCCCAATTCCTAAACGTTTCGGGCAATTACCCCCAAACTCAATTCCAGCTTTCCCTTTGTGATATGGAACCTTGTAGTACAATTTCAGAAATATCCAAACACTTACACACAAGTTATTGTCATGAAACTAGAACAAGAGTGCACACACTGAAATGTCTCGCCTTCTTTACTAATCATTGATATTATGTTGATAGTCCTAAATATAAAGCTTTATTACAACTGTCACATAAACTAAACATTAACCAAGAAAACTAAACATTGACCAATGAACCATGAAAATGAGGTCAAGGTCAGATGAACCGTGCCAGGCAGACATGTACAGTTAACAATTCTTCCATATAATAAATATAGTTGACCTATTGCTTATAGTTTAAGAAAAACAGACCAAAACACAAAAACTTAACACTGATCAATGAACCGTGAAAATGAGGTCAAGGTCATATAAAACCTGCGTGACTGACATATAGATCATAAAATATTTCCATACACCAAATATAGTTGACCTATGGCATATAGTATTAGAAAAAAAGACCAAAACTCAAAAACTTAACTTTGACCACTGAACCATGAAAACGAGGTCAAGGTCAGATGACACCTGCCAGCTAGACATGTACACCTTACAATCATTCCATACACCAAATATAGTAGACCTATTGCATACAGTATAAGAAAAACAGACCAAAACACAAAAACTTAACTATAACCACTGAACCATGAAAATGAGGTCAAGGTCAGATGACACCTGCCAGTTGGACATGTACACCTTACAGTCCTTCCATACACCGAATATACTAGACCTATTGCTTATAGTATCTGAGATATGGACTTGACCACCAAAACTTAACCTTGTTCACTGATCCATGAAATGAGGTCGAGGTCAAGTGAAAACTGTCTGACGGGCATGAGGACCTTGCAAGGTACGCACATACCAAATATAGTTATCCTACTACTTATAATAAGAGAGAATTTAACATTACAAAAAATGTTAACTTTTTTTTCAAGTAGTCACTGAACCATGAAAATGAGGTCAAGGACATTAGACATGTGACTGACGGAAACTTCGTAACATGAGGCATCCATATACAAAGTATGAAGCATCCAGGTCTTCCACCTTCTGAAATATAAAGCTTTTAAGAAGTTAGCTAACGCCGCCGCCGCCGCCGGATCACTATCCCTATATCGAGCTTTCTGCGACCAAAAGTCGCAGGCTCGACAAAAATGCTTGTTTTTTGCCCCTTTTTTGGCCCCTAATTCCTAAAATTTTGAGGCAATTACCCCCAAAATCAATTACAGCCTTCCCTTTGTGATATGGAACCTTGTGGTACAATGTCAGAGAGATCCATACACTTACACACAAGTTATTGTCTGGAAGTTACAAAAATGCTTATTTTTGGCCCCTTTTTGGCCCCTAATTCCTTAACTGTTGGTACCATAACCCCCAAAATCAATCCCAACCTTCCTTTCGTGGTATTGAACCTTATGGTGAAATTTCATGGAGATCCATTCACTTAAACTAAAGTTAGAGTGCGAAAACCAATGTGTCTTCGGATGACGACGACGACGACGTCATACCAATATACGACCAAAAATTTTTTTAATTTTTGCGGTCGTATAAAAATCTGCAATTTTAAAAACACATGTGGACACAAACATGCATGGATAGTATCCAGCTCTCAAGACCAATACTAGTTTGATGAAAAATTTCCTTGATCAATGAGTAGTTAAATTTCAAACTATCAGCAAACAGGAAGTGGATGTACTGAAGATGTGTTGAAACGACATGAAAATCAGCATATCGGAACAAAACATAAACTTGATCTGTAACTCATCATGGTAGACTCACATATCAAAAATCAACGCAAAATCTGAAGGCGTTTAGAAAAAAAGTCCGTATAACTGTGATTTTCAACAATTTATCAAAGTCCAAAGCCCGTAATTTCGTAAAAAATTAGCAGAGTGTAACGAATCTTAAACTTGATCTGTAACTCATCATGGTTAACTCACAAACCAAAAATCAGCCCAATATTTGAAGGAGTTTAGAAAAAAGTCTGTATAACTGTGATTTTTCAACAATTTATCAAAGTCCAAAGCCCGTAATTTCAGCAAAAATTAGCAGATCGGAACAAAACTTAAACTTGATCTGTAACTCATCATGGTTAACTCGCATACAAAAAAATCAGCCCAATATCTGAAGGCGTATAGAAAAAAAGTCCGTATAACTGCGATTTTCAACAATTTTTCAAAATCCCAAGCCCGTAATTTCAGCAAAAATTAGCAGAGTGTAATGAATCTTAAACTTGATCTGTAACTCATCATGGTTAACTCACATTCCAAAAATCAGCCCAATATCTGAAGGCGTTTAGAAAAAAAGACCGTATAACTGTGATTTTCAACAATTTATCAAAGTCCAAAGCCCGTAATTTCGGCAAAAATTAGCAGAGCGGAACAAAACTTAAACTTGATCTGTTACTCAGCATGGTTAACTCACATACCAAAAATTTGCCCAATATCTGAAAGTGTTTAGAAAAAAAGTCCGTATAATGGTTTGGTGACGGAATGACAGAAAAGGGTAAAACTATATGGCCCCAACAACTTTGTCGGGGGCCATAAAAACAGATCTGAAAAGACTTTCAATGTTGAAAGGAAAGAAACAATATCTTCGTCCTATAGAGATTTCTATGTTTCTTAGGCTTGAACACTACCGTAAATGTAACAAAAAAGTTTTTTAAATTTTGTTGGTAGGTTTCCTATGTGGTTTATCAAAAGGGCCTATAAAAAAACTAACCAATTAATTTAAATTTTTTCTCATCATCATATGCAATGTTGATCAGAATTGAACAAATTGAGAAGTTAACATTTAAGTTAGAACTGATATTAAGGATCAAGTTACTTATCTTTAAACTAGTATGTAGTAAATTCACAAATTAGATTGTTACTTAATATTAGAGCTAAAGACTGTTAATTGACAGTAAATACACATCCTTAACTATTTTATACATTTATTTAAATGTACAATTAAACTGAGGACTCAGGTTTCTTAGAACTAGATACGAGTAATTTATTATATATATACATGTATTACACTACTTTGATTCAATTACCTGTAGTCATCTTTGCTTCAAAACATACTTCAAACATATCATATTCTTCTGTAGTGAAGGCAAATTTTCCTTTTTTAATATCTTCTTTATTATATAATATGTGTCCTTTTGAATCTGTTACCTATAAAATTAAACTGAGTTAGTAAAAAGATTGCGCTGCAGAATCAATAATTCCTTTAGACAAGCTTTAGTGATGCCTGCTAATCTGAAAAAATGTAGGTTTCATGGATCTCAAAAATCAGTTTTAAACACACATTTGAAACAAAGATAACAATGAAACATATTTTAATTTTATAAAAATTATCAAACAATGCTGTTGACCAAATGCTTTGTAATTATGTACACAAAAGATTTTGTTTTTATGAAGAGCATATCTGAAATAACCAAAAAATTAAATGTAAAGCAAGGAACATTCTTTAAAGTCATTGCATTAAATTTTGTATTCATTTATATCCAAATTAATAGAAAAAATGTAAAACTAAAGAGGTATATTTTGAAATCACTACAAGATAAGGGAAGTAACTCCATATAGATCTTGCCTTTTGTAATTCAACCCATTGCATGATGTGCAATTGTGCAGATGTGTACACAAATTTATATTACCTAGGGCTGAGAAGGCAAAGATCAAGCCATTTTGAAAAGTGGAGGTTCAAACCCCCAGAACACCATGAAATGTACACATAATTTAAAAAAAAAAAAAAATAAATAAATGGAGAATGTGTCCCCATGGACACAGATGATGCCCCCGCTTGCATACAATATTATAAAGGGACATAACTCAAGAACAATAAAAGTGACGCTACCCAAATTTGTACTTGATCTTAAGTTTTGTGGTAATAAGTATATTGTGTATAGGTTTCATGTTTGGTTGGGGCAAACTTAAGTTACAGAATGGAAACTAAAATTTTTGGAATTTTTTTATTTATAAAGGGGCATAACCAGGGCTTCCAAAATTATTTTTAGCCAGCCGGACATTTTATATATTATCCCGATTTTAATCCCTTAAGACTACATAAACAAAAGGCAATTATGGTAATCAGTTGCCGAGTTGGCCATCCCAATGATTGACATTAAAATCTTTGATTCAAATTCGAAGTTCTGACGTAAACTGTTAAATTGGCAGTGCATCATTCAAAGTGTGCAACATCAGCGTACTTATATCTGCCTTAGACTCTTTATTTGTGCAAAATAACGTTGTCAAAAACTTAAAAAATTTTAATTTACCTATTCAAACCATATCATTATTATTTGCTTTTATATATAAATCAGAAATAACCAATTTAAAATGGAAAATTTTAAAGAAAAAAAAGGAAACCCCCCCGCAAATTTTTGAACCCCCTTATGATTCATCACCCCCAAACTCAATCCCAGCCTTCCCTTTGTGGTATGGTACCTTGCAGTACAATTTCAGAGAGATCCATACACTTGAACACAAGTTATTGTCTGGAAACTAGAAAATGCTTGTTTTTTTCCCCTTTTTGGCCCCTAATTCCTAAAATTTTGAGGCAATTAACCCCAAAATCAATCCTAGCCTTTCCTTTGTGGTATGGTACCTTGCAGTACAATTTCAGAGAGATCCATATATTTGAACACAATTTATTGTCTGGAAACTAGAAAAATGCTTGTTTTTTTTCCTTTTTGGCCCCTAATTCCTAAAATTTTGAGGCAATTACCCCCAAAACCAATCCCAGCCTTCAATTTTTTTATGGTACCTTGCAGTACAATTTCAGAGAGATCAATACACTTGAACACAAAGTTATTGTCTGGAAAATAGAAAAATGCTTATTTTTGGCCCCTTATTCCTAAACGTTTTGGGCAATAACCCCCAAACTCAATTCCAGTTTTCCCTTTGTGATATGGAACCTTGTAGTACAATTTCATAAAGATCCATACACTTACACACAAGTTATTGTCATGAAACTAGAAAAATGCTTGTTTTTTGCCCCTTTTTTGGTCCCTAATTCCTAAAATTTGGAGGCAATTACCCCCAAAATCAATCCCAGCATTTCCTTTGTGATATGGAACCTTGTGGTACAATGTCAGAGAGATCCATACACTAACACACAAGTTATGTCTGGAAGTTACAAAAATGCTTATTTTTGGCCCCTAATTCCTTAACTGTTGGTACCATAACCCCCAAAATCAATCCCAACCTACCTTGTGGTATTGAACCTTATGGTAAAATTTCATAGAGATCCATTCACTTAAACTAAAGTTAGAGTGCGAAAACTAATGTGTCTTCGGACGACGACAATGACGCCAACGTCATACCAATATACGAACGCAAAATTTTTTTGCGGTCGTATAAAAATTCAGCAATTTTTCTATTTGTAAACACGCATAACTCTAGAACAGTTGTGTAGAAGTTTTAAAACATTTGGTTCAGACAAACTAAAAAATTCAGCAATTTTTATGTTTATAAAGGGACATAACTCCAGAATGGTAAAAGTGTCACCACCAAATTTCATACTTATTCTGTATTATGTACATGTAGTAATAAGCATTGTGTATAAGTTTCATAACATTTGGTTGAGGCAAACTAAAGTTAGAAAATAGAAACAAAAAATTTGTACTTGATCTTAGTTTTGTGGTAATGAATATTGTGCATAGGTTTCATAATGTTTGCTTGGGGCAAACTTAAGTTACAGAATGGAAACTAAAAATTTTGCAATCTTTCAATTTATAAATGGGAATAACTCAATAATGGTTAAAGTGACACTACCCAAATTCAACTCGATCTGTATTTTATCAGTGGAAGTCAAAATTAAACATTGCATTGTATAAAGCATTGATTGTAGTTGATTCAACAAAGGCGGGGGCATAAAAAATGAAAAATTTAGCAATTTTTCCATTTGTAAAGGGGCATAACTCTAGAACAGTAAAAGTGACGCCACCCAAATTCAAACTTGATCTGTGTTTTGTGGTAATAAACATTGTGTATAAGTTTGATAACATTTGGTTTAGGCAAACTTAAGTTAGAGAACTGAAACCAATTTTGGGACGTACGGACAGACGGACAAGGGTAAAACTTAATGCCCCCTACGCTTCGGCGGGGGCATAAAAAAGGGGAGGGGGGGGGTTTCCAATCCCAGGATCTGCCAATTCTGAGGTAAAATACTTTAACAATACCCATGGTTTATATGACACACAAGCTGTCAAGTGAAGCCATAGTTGGCCAAAATAATTTTGGCTAAATTATATATTTATCGACAAACTGAAAGTACATTAGATTGACAATCTAAAAACTGATATACATGTACATCAATAGTAATGCAACTTCATACAAAATATCACAAGTAGTTCCTATCAAACTAACTTGAGCAGAAAACTTAACAATTGTTGACGGCTTGATGCTGTCGTCGTCATCGCCTGAATAGCAAATCCCTATGTCTAGCTTTCTGCGACTTTCGCAGCATGCGATACAAAAAAGCACTTTCATGTATGACTTTGTTCATTTGGATCCTTTGGTTAAATTGACTGAGTTTTGAAGGCATATCATGCTCTAAGTAAATAAATTTCAACTGCATTTTATGTTTTAGAAAAATTAAAATTTAACTGGATTTTTTTTGTCCTTGGAGAAGATGATAAAATTAACATACAGTTAAGTTTCACTTGATATGGTCCACTCTGTGATACTGTTTAAATCTCAAATTATTGTCAGGTATCTATTGTCCAATTCAATCAATACAGTTCACTTCAATTATTACCTGTGGGGAAGTTCTCAAACCTCTTTCCCAACTTTGGTTTACTTTGGCACCTTTTGTAATTCAAACCATTAAAAAAGTAAACTGCAACATCCAGTTAAGTTTTTAATTTTCTAAAACATCAAATGCATTTTGAATTTTATATATCTAGGGCAAGCTATCATGCCTTTAAACTTTTCAGATACACAGGTTTGTCTGTACTAATTATTGAGGTGAAAACACAGCTGTTTTAGCCAAAGGGTCCACATGAACCTTAATGCATGTTTTAATATTTATCGTCTATCTTTTAAAATAATAGATTTCTTGAAACCAAATTTGTTTACTTGTCGTGAGACCCACTTAGATAAAAGACTTTCAAATTCATGCAGAGTCAGGGAAATTACTGAAATAAGTGATTTATAAAATCACTCATTTAAGTAGCTAAGCAAATTAGAAATTCTGTGGTTTTGTAGTTTTACCAAAATTTTAAACATTCAGGTTTAGATTTATATGTAATTATTAGCAGATTAGTAAAATTGAAAAAAATGAACCCCCCTTTTTTTTTAAGTACAAAATGTAGCAAGGTTAATGTCTTTGATGCAATGATTCATCTGTAAAATTCTATATTGGTTGAAAAAATGCTTCCAACATTTCTGGAATAAACAGCTGCGCCATGAGCGCATGATACGACTGTTGCATTTTCAAAGAATAAAGTTCAATCACATCTCAATGTCATATTAGAAATTTATGAAAATCGAAAGGGAGCTTTTGTCAATAGATTTAAACAATTCACCAAAGTTTCATGAGAACTGCTGAAAGCATTTTTGAGGTCCAAAAACTGGAAAATCCCCCCTTTTTTAATGAATAAAACACCATAACTAGGAAACGTAAAATCTAAAATTTATAAAATTCGAAAGGGAGCTTACAGCAATAGATATAAACAATTCACCAAATTTTATGAGAACTGCTAAACGCATTTTGGAGTTATTGTCCGAAAACTGTAAACTGCCCCTTTTTTAATGAATAAAACCCCATAACTAGAAACGTAAAATCTAAAATTTATGAAAATGGAAAGGGAGCTCATGTCAATGATATAAACAATTCACCAAAATTTCTTGCAAATTGGTGAAAACATTTTGGAGTTATTGTCCGAAAACTGGAAAATCCCCCTTTTTTTAATGAATAAAACCTCATAACTTTTTAATGAATAAAACCTCATAACTTGGAAACGTAAAATCTGAAATTTATAAAAAACGAAAGGGAGCTCACGTCAATAGATATAAACAATTCACCAAAGTTTTATGCAAATTGGTTAAGGCGTTTTTGAGTTAACTTAATGTCCGACATGTTGACGATGGACGGACGGACAGTCAGACAACAGTATACCATAATACGTTCTGTAAACGGGCGTATATAAATGAAACTTGAATCGGTGATTTAAGAAATCACTCATTTAAATAATTCCCCTGACTGATGCACTTTCCCGTCTATATCCTATGTCACAATGCTTAAGGTATTACATCACAGTAAGAACTGATAATTTGACATCGTATACACCAATTGACCCTGGGTCAACCGCTGTAACTCATTCATAAAAAACTCGAGATTGGTGTATACAAGGATTTGTATAGTAAGACTTACTATACAAATCCTTGGTGTATAGGGATACCTTACCATACTGAAAAATGTACATGTTATATTGCTGGGAATTTGTAAATGACTGGCACATGCCTGATGCCACAGAAAGGTGTTCAAAATGAAAATGTCCAGATAATGACAAGTTTAAAACAATGAAGGGGACAGATCAATAGTTTCCAGAAACCATCTGGCATCTATGACAAAAAGACCCCCCTCCCCCCAAATAAAATCGAACACTCAATATTGACAGTTTTACCCTTCAGTAACGAACCTTAAAAGGAACTATATCACAGAGTATTGGGGTCAAACAATATCATCTTTTAGCAGACCATTCCATAAACTTACTGCAAGGTTAACTTTTTGTCCAGGTGCATCTGAAATTGCATACTCTCCAGCAACTAAAACATCTTTATGGATTTCCTCTCGCAGACATTTTTTCGTATTTGGAGATATATGAAACATTAAGGCATCTGAAAATGTAATATAAATTGCAAATAAAACGAAGAATACATGAAACACATCCATTTCTCAAGATATGTTTGTTTTCGCCGGTGCACGTTTGCTAACGTGGCATTCGGTGTTTTACGTAGCTTTCCGTAGTAACTCGTAGTGTATCTAATTACCATATAACTTAACACAGCACAGTAAAGGACTAATTATAAAAAAAACAACAGATTTATAAATAAAAAGGTGACTTCAAGCATTTATTGAACATTATACTATATTTTAATTGTTTAATTTTAAGATGAAAGCTAATTTGCGACATTTCCGATATAGCAGTGTTAAGACATATTTATCATATGAATACGGGACAACTCGGCCCGGAGACAAGTCGGACCGAGTCAAATCGGACGAGTTGTCTTTTTCGTCATTTATATACTGTAAATCGGCGTCAAAACTTTATTAGAGACTTTTCTTTAGACACAGTCTTTTTCATTAAATTATTTATTTCGTCAAAACTCTGATTTTATACTTAGTCTGAGCTGAGGTCTGAGTTGTCATTATAGACAGTCCTGGGACTATTATTTATACTAGTTAGTATAATAGTCCCAGGACAGTCCGAGTTGACTTTATATTATATTCTAATGTATAAAATTGTAAATGGACTAACACATGATTACCAGAGACATATATACACATGTGTCTCTGTGATTACTTAGCAATGCTAAATATTAATGATGTTCAACACTAAAACTTACGATCTGTCTCTAATAATGATCTATTTGTTCCAAGACCAAATAAAAAAAATTATAAAAAATCTTTTCATTATTCTGCAACCAAGGTATGGAATAATTTACCATTCACACACATTTTATAGTTAGAATATGAAAACTTTATCAATTGTTTGAATGATTGATACAATTCAATCATTCACACATTTAAATGATATATATAATATATATATAGATTGTATTTTGATGTATGGAATTGAATGTTAAAGGGGCACTAGCTACAAGATGTATATAACAAAAATCAAATATGATTTTTTTTTGTTCAATCATTAATGAAAGTGAAATAGTGAAATAATAATTCGCTTTTAGCAGCATGTATGGTTCAATGTTGTCAAAATAAGCTAAGAAACATCGAACATGAATTATTCACTTGCAAGTGTATAATTGGACCTCATTAAATCCGTATTCATGTTACCTTCAATTTAACCCCTTAGCTAGAGGTGGATAACGCATGAATTATGCGTGTTCAGCTATTGAAAGGAAAAGAATGTCAACATTGAAAGTGAAACAAAGGTAAATCATTTGATTCCACGAAAACTCATTCTTATACAGGTAAAAACGATGATTAACATATATTTTTACATATAATATGAAATTAAACAGACCTAAAAAAATCCAATTGCACGAGTTCGCTATCTACTTATATCTATATTTATGTTTATATCGCTTATATGACCGTCGGCGGTCTTCGGAGGTCAACTCGATAGTTAATTAGATGGCGTCTAGACTAATATACACACAAAACGATGATACATATTATAGAGCCCATGCCTTGTAAATTGTTTATTTTAGACTTTTTATAATTTGGATATACGTTTTAGTATGTCACTGTTATAAATCAAATATGAAAATTTGAGTCAAATCGGTGAAATATGAATTTGACAGCCAATGCCCCTTTAACTGTATACATCTATTTTGTTTGAGGGCCTCAATGAGTTAATTGAGTTACCCTCTTTAAATAAAGAAGTTATTATTATTATTATTATTATTATTATTATTATTATTATTATTATTATTATTATTATTATTATTATTATTTTTATAGTTGACTTATTGATGGTCCGAGTTGTCTTTATAGACGGTCCGAGTTGTCTTTTTGTAGACGGTCCAAGTTGTCTCCGGGCCGACTTGTTTATCCATAATGATATTAATTGACATGTTAATATATCACATTATGCTATTCCTTATATTTAGACACTCTGATATGAAAATAGAAGACAGTCTAATAACAGACGTTATTTTCCACGTTTATATCATTATCGTTTTATATTGATTCTTTTGGTAACTAGATAGGACCACAGAGTCAGTAAGATATTAGTCTTCAAAGCTCTTGATCAAGGGTAGAGGGAGCATTTAAAAACCAGGATTCAAATTGATATGGACAAAAATTTTGCATGGGGAATCGACTTGGAAAAGTTAAGTTAATTTTGCGAAAACATGTCAACAACACCTCTAAGAATCGTCCTTGGAAAGTAAGAAGTGTTACCAAGATTCCCCCTTGCATTGCGTTGTTAGGACATAGAACTTTCGGGTGTCCGTCTGTCCGTTTGCAAATTCTTATGAAATTTACATCAAACATTTATCAACTATTTTTGAGCAGAGATGCCCTGGAATTACTGCATTCAACCATTTGATATCGTTAGGCACAGGGACTCGATTAGCCAATATATATTTATTTTTTAGTAATTAGGTCTTTCCACTTCCATGAACATGAAGAACAGACCTTTTGTTTTTTTTGTTCGTATTGAAGTTATTCTGCCAAAATTTATTTTGCAAGTATTTTTTGTTTCACAACATGTTGCTTAGGTATGTGGTATGTGATAATGTACAGTTTATACACTTATAAAGCTGACCCTGCTAAACTGAACATAGAAGTGAATTACATTAAATGTATATTTGTAAGAGTTATCTTCCTAAACACTGTTTTTCTTGTTATTTATACTCCTTTGCAACTGTACAAGAAACTGACAATTTTTTTCCAAATTGCTTGTTACATCCTCTGCATTTTTTATTAAAATTTTAACCAAAGCCATCTGTAGACTCCATTTGAGAGTTATTTCCCCTTCTGCATTTGATATAAGAGGGTAAGAATACCCTATATTGTCGCTTTCATGTCGATCCGGCCCCACGTCGATCCGGCCCAAGTCGATCCATCCCACGTCGATCCGGCCCAACGTCATTCCGGCCCATATTTAAAGTCGATCCGGCCCAATAAAAAAATATATTTATAAGGAATAAAACTAAAGATATATATTAATTGTAATTCATAAATGTTTATGAATTTTATTATAATGTAAAAGGTGTACGGTAAAAAAAATTGGCCTTTGACAAATATTTTCTTCAGATGAGTTTAAAACAACTATGTTGATTATGTTTTCATTACAAGTTTTCAATTTAATTGAATTTATTGTTATATTATAGTAATGCTGATATTATATTTTAGAGAGTGAAAATGTGCATTCAGTGTAATTATTTTGTTATTATCTTGCAATAAAGAATAATGGATACTCATATAACTTGTTTTTTTATCTACACACAACTATTCAAAATATTGTCAACTTTAAAAAAATATATGGACTATATTCGATATTACAAAAAAAAAAAACATGTATTATAGAAGCCTCTGATGTTACCTTAAAAAGAAATACAATTAATTATTATAACACATAACACCAAACAAAAGATCAAACTATAAAGACCTTGTTGATTACGTAACTTTAATCAATCAGGATTTGATTGAATTAAGTGATTACGAGTGGCATTACCTTAGTTCACAATCATTAGACAATTATTGAATAAACAAACCAATTATAGTCTAATGATTTGATTAAACAAGTCATTATGATGAGTTAAATTTTATAGGTTCCATTGGACTGTAAATATTTATTTAGCTATTCTGTGTGTGAATTAAATAAAATAAAAATCGCCATGACATTCAAAGTTATCATGGAAAATAACTTCATATTAAAATATGTTGAAGCTGCTATACAAACAGACACAATCACACTCATTTTCATATCGATGTAAAATAATTCTTTGACTGGTACTCCAATACTTCACTTACCTGTTTTCATCCATCAACAATACTTTTTACAAATTCCACATTATACTGTTAAAATTTGTCACAAAATCCTCCAAAGTCAATATAGTTTATTCATATTTTATTATGGGGCCGGATCGACGAAGGGACGGATTGACGTGGGCCGGATCGACTTGGGACGGATCGACTTTGGGCCGGTCTGACTTGGGGCCGGAACAGTTTGGGGACGGAACGACCGGATACCATTTCGTCAAGCATCAAACGTCCCATTTTTTGCTAAGCATCAAAAGAGCTTTCATTTTGTATTGTCATTCATCAAATCTTATTCTGTAGCTACTGTTAGCATCAAATGAAATGAAATGTTTATAGTTAACGTTATTTCAACAAATATGTTAGGCCAAAAAAAAATGTATGTCTGGTTAAGGTTACATCATTAAAAAAAATAGGATAGGGAGGTAGGTATTTCCATTTTATTTTATTTTTACATTTTATTTTTTGCAACATGATTATGAGTCGTGCAGTCCGTCATGGTCTGAGTTATCCATGGGTGGAGTTTACCCGTATTTTTAATGATTGGATTATTTCCCCTTTGTTATTGATTGGAAAAAACTGATCACATGAGTCGTGAGTTTCCTTAAAACAGCTGTAATATTCATGACTCTGAACATTAGGATGTACAATGATGTATCAGGCAGTTGATTTCTTTTATTGGCAACTCTTACTTCATGTACTTAACTTTTGACACGAGTTCAATTAATTTTTCACTTTATGACGGAAATAAAACTACTTAGGGTCGGTGCTCAAAAGTAGGGTCAGTCTGGTAACCGTAAACAGACATATATTTTTATTTGGCCCTACTGTCATTTGTCTTGAAGGGTACCCCATTACAATCCTCATATCAGTGCAATGTATTTGTAACTGGCAAACCATATCTTGATAAGTGAAAGAGACCTAGGGTATTTTGATTTGAGGTCCTTGGTCCACCAAAAAAAAGATTTGGTCAAGATCACAGGTCAAGGTCATGTTCTATATTTTATTTGATTTTTGCTTATTATCACTTCTCCTCAGAAACCGTAAAAGATGTCAACATAATGTTTTCACTAAATTGTTAGTTAGGACATGTTTTAACACATACGTTTCAGTTATAAGGGTATTTTGCCATATAACAGGAGTTTTCCCCCTCTTATATTTAAACTTAGCTATATGGTGATATAACTCATTAATCATACATATGAGTAGAGACATAGGGTCTTTTGATTTGAGGTCTTTGCTTTATGAACTTCAAATTGAGTTCAAGGTCATAGTTTTATTTAACATTCTAGATTGTGACCTTTGCTGTAACTTCATATTGGTACATGATAAAGTCAAAGGGTCTTTTGAGTTAGGTTGCAGACATATACATGTACATGATATAACCTTGAAAAACATCAATCAGAAATGGTCTGTTGTAAACTGGGAGTAGCCATTTTTTGCACTATTTTTTATTTAAAAGTTACTAGAACCATATCCCTTTGGAATCAGCATCAGGTAACCTATTGTATAACACTGGAAGTGACATTTTTTAAACCATAAGAAGCAACTTATATTCTTCATTTCAAGTAAAAGTATATAGAACCAAATAGTTTTGGCATCAGTGTAAAATAAACTATCATCTGACACTGGAGATGAAATATTATACCAAAAGTTTTTATTTTCCTTTTAAAATATGTGCATTTAGGGTGAAAAGACCTTCAATAATTCTCTGTTTAATATTGTTATTGCATTTCTTCTCAGAAAACATGGACCTAATGTTTGTGTTCACTACTTCTCTGAAACTAATGTCCAATTGACCTAAAAATTTGCAACAAATAGGGTATACACATATTCCATCTTTATCAAACAACTTTGTGCAGCTACCTATGCTTTCAAGCTCTGGTAAATATCAATGAAATCCTACCATCAAATTTCTGCTCATAGATTAAAATACCAAATTGTGCTACCAACTGTGTCTTAAAAAATATGTACATACAATGTAGTCTGAAAATAATCCTTAAACATGTTTTAAACAACACAGAATAACATTGTGACTCAATTTTGATCCCTACCACAAAATTTGCGAACAGTGTAGCTTTCTGAATTTTGACCAACACATCTGTAGTACTTTTGAATACACAAATGATCGAAGATGAAGAAAACACAAACTTGAAAGATACATATTTTTGTTAAATCAAAATTTTGTTTTACTATATTTTCAGGCAGAAGTTGTGTTGCTATTTTTTTTCTAGTAGTATATAAGCAAAAGTTCAACTATATTTGGTGTTTATTAAATGATCGTAGGGTGTACATGTCAGACTGGCAGGTTTTATCTGACCTTGACCTCATTTTCATGGATCATTGGACATTGTTAAGTTTTTGGGGTTTGGTCTATTACTCAGATACTCTTAAGCAGTATGACCACCATAGGCATATTTGTTGTATGGGTTGATTTTGAATTTTCATGATTATAAAATTGAGAATGAAAATGGGGAATATGTCAAAGAGACAACAACCCAACCAAAGAGCAGACAACAGCTGAAGGCCACCAATGGGTCTTCAACCATCGAGAAAATCCCGCACCCGGAGGTGGTCCTCAGCTGGCCCCTAAATAAAATTGTGTACTAGGTCAGTGAAAATGGACGTCACACTAAACTCCAAAACATATAAATGAACTAAAATTAAAAAACATACAAGACTAACAAAGGCCAGAGACTCCTGACTTGGGACAGGTGCAAAAATGCGGCGGGGTTAAACATATTTTGTGAGATCTCAACCCTCCCCTATACCTCTAGCCAATGTAGAATAAAGAAACACATAGCAATACGCACAGTAAAACTCAGTTTAAAAGAAGTCTGACTCCGATGTCAGAATACATGTAGGTAACAAAAAAAACTAAGCAAAATGACAATGATACATAAATGAACAAAGGACTACTAGCAGTTACTGACATGCCAGCTCCAGACCTCAATTAAACTGATAGAAAGATTATGTCTTCATCATATGAAATTCAAGTACAATCCCTCCCGTTGGGGGTTTAGTATCATACCATCATAAAATATATGAGAAGAACATAAATCGTATCATGCCAACAACTGGTTTTAGAATAAATGTGTTTATTTCCGATGCAAAGACCCTATGAGTGAATCAATATTAGTACCAAAATATGCAATCCTTAATGACTTGACAACAGTATCGTAACTATATCCTTTCCGAATAAGTCTGTTTAAAGGTTTGGTTAGCTTTTGAGGTGAATGCTGACATTTTTGTGCTTTGTAAAGAATATTACCATAAAATATTGGATGTGAAATACCTGAAAGTATAAGATGTCTGCATGTTGATTTATATTTACGAATGATGTCCTTGTACCGATGATAAAATTTAGTAAATGTTTTGACTAGTTTGTGATATCGAAAAACCCTGGTGTAATAATTTTTCAGTAATACAGAGATTTCTTTCGAGCGAATCGAACAAGTTGGGATATGTAAACACCATAAGATGGTGACAAGGGAACGTCACCATCTAAAAATAAATAATTAACCATAGGAAATGAAAAATCATCTCTTTTATCATAAATTTTGGTATTAAGCTTCCCTTTAAAGATAAAGATATCAAGGAAAGGGCAGTGTTCATTGTTAGTATTAGCTTTATTTAAAGTTAGTTCGGCAGGATAAATCTCTTGAGTGTACATACTGAAGTTGTCATTATTGAGAGCCAATATATCATCTAAATGTCTAAAAGTGTTATTAAATTTTTGAATCAGATGTTGTTTCGATGGGTCTTTGCTGATTTTAGTCATAAATTGTAACTCATAACAATACAGAAACAGGTCGGCAATAAGTGGTGCACAGTTAGTCCCCATGGGAATTCCGATAAGCTGACGATATACGGAATCTCCATAGCGAACAAAAATGTTATCTAGTAAAAATTCAAGGGCAGTTAAAGTATCAAAGCAGGTCCAATTGACATAGTTCTTTTGTATATTGTTACTAAAAAATGACCTAAAAGAGTTTGAACATATATATTCACATCCCGACTTTTTAAATGCCCATTTAATAAGGTGTGTGAATTTTTTCTTAATAAGATTATGAGGCAATGTGGTATATAGGGTAGAAAAATCAAAACTTTGAACAGATTCGAAATCACCAATATAAACATGCAATTTATCAAGTACTTCCAACGAATTTTTGACACTCCAAAAGTAATTATTTCCACTATTTTCAAAGGCCTTATTTGAACAATTTATTACCAGGTTTTTGATTATACCAAGTGTACTAGTAAGTAGAATAGATAGTTTAGTAGTGGAACAATGGCTTGAAGACGAAATAAATCTATATTTGTAAGGAGTTTTGTGCAGCTTCGGAAGCCAGTACATAGTTGGAACTTTCATTGTATTTGTTTCTGCTTGTAAAGAGGTAGCTAAAAGTTTATGTTTGTTACAGATGTCATTTTCCGAAAATGGAGTCAGTTGGAATGTTGGTAAATTCGTGATTTCCTTTTGTAGAACATCAATGTAAAATTTACGTCAAGCATTAATGATATTGTTAGCAGCCTTATCAGGCGAGACAAAAATATATTCCTTGGCGAGTTCTTTTAGTTTTAGCTTATGTTTGATACGGGAAATTGGGCTATTATAGTTGTTGTTAGGAGTAAAATGATCTTGTATCTGTTTCTTAGATATTATAAGCAATAGGTCAACTATATTTGGTGTCTGTCTAGCAGTATTCATTTGACCTTGACCTCATGTACATGGATCATTGATAATGATTTGTTTAAGAGATTGTATTCAAACCTGCATATTACTGACTTTCAACATAAATTCAATAATGATAATTATAAGTAAATCAAGTGGGACAATTCAGTGTATGCAGACTGTGCACTCTATGCCAAGGGTATTGACATTTTGTATACCAGTAAGGTCTTTAAAAAATTTGTTAATTTGCACAGATATCAACTATTTTTACAGGAATTATGCCCCCTGGGAAAAGGTATCATATGGAAAGTTGATCTCATGCCTACATTGCTTTTACAATATTTGTGAAAAAAGTATATAACAAAAATAAAAACTAGAGTTATTGGCCTTTGACAGATATAAATGTGCATCAGTGACATGGGTGTATCTAAACAATTGCAAACAAAATAATTATATTGTATTTTAAACCTCAATACTAAGGGAAAACCTATAGCATAGAAACAAGAAGAAAAGTGACTCTTTTTATGATAAAGTCTATAGAATTATTCATTTGATGAAGCCGGTTCTTATATATCCCCAAGTTGTAAAAAAAAAATTTCCACATTGATTTTCAGACTCATTCAAGACATTGGTAATAAAAACTTTAGACATCAATTTAAATAATGGTGTGTTATCAAGTATACATGTACAAATTTACCTCAGAATTTCCTAACAGTGGTGTACCCTAATCTATGCAAAGGGGAGGGTGTCAGAGTTTAGAGGGGGGCTGTTGAATAACCCCTGTAGTCTACATCCACAGAATTTTTCTAAATATTTAATAAAAATGTATTAATGATTTGGTTTGTATTTTGGAAAGCTTCACCATGTGATTAGATAAAAGTTCACATGATCCATATTTCAAGGTTCAGTGGGTATGACAAAGATTTTAAACTTCATTACAGCAGGAAAACCAATGATACTGGAACAATCGAAAAGTGACTTTTTAGCTCACCTGACCTGAAAGGTCAAGTGAGTTTTTCTCATCACTTGGCGTCCGTCGTCCTGCGTCCGTCGTCCTGCGTCTGTCGTCCGTCGTCCGTAAACTTTTACAAAAATCTTCTCCTCTGAAACTACTGGGCCAAATTTGACCAAACTTGGCCACAATCATCATTGGGGTATCTAGTTTAAAAAATGTGTCCGGTGACCCGGCCAACCAACCAAGATGGCCGCCATGGCTAAAAATAGAACATAGGGGTAAAATGTAGATTTTGGCTTATATCTCTGAAACCAAAGCATTTAGAGCAAATCTGACAAATGGGTAAAATTGTTTATCAGGTCAAGATCTATCTGCCCTGAAATTTTCAGATGAATCGGACAACCCGTTGTTGGGTTGCTGCCCCTGAATTGGTAATTTTAAGGAAATTTTGCCGTTTTTGTTTATTATCTTGAACATTATTATAGATAGATTTAAACTGTAAACAGCAATAATGTTCAGCAAAGTAAGATCTACAAATAAGTCAACTTGACCAAAATGGTCATTTGACCCCTTAAGGAGTTATTGCCCTTTATATTCAATTTTTAACCATTTTTCGTAAATTTTTGTAATCTTTTACAAAAATCTTCTCCTCTGAAACTACTAAGACAAATTTAACCAAACTTGTCCACAATCATCATTAGGGTATCTAGTTTAAAAAATGTGTCCGATGACCCACGCCCGCGAACCAAGATGGCCGACATGGCTAAAAAATAGTACATAGGGTAAAATGCAGTTTTTGGCTCATATCTCTGAAACCAAAGCATTAAGAGCTAATCTGATGAGAATAAAATTGTTCATTAGGTCAAGATCTATCTGCCCTGAAATTTTCAGACCAATCAGGCAACCCGTTGTTGGGTTGCTGCCCCTGAATTGGTAATTTTAAGGAAATTTTGCAGTTTTTGGTTATTATCTTGAACATTATTATAGATAGAGATAAACTGTAAACAGCATTAATGTTCAGCAAAGTAAGATCTACAAATAAGTCAACATGACCAAAATGGTCAGTTGACCCCTTAAGGAGTTATTGCCCTTTATAGTATATTTTTAACCATTTTTCGTAATTTTTTGTAATTTTTTACAAAAATCTTCTCCTCTGAAACTACTAAGACAAATTTAACCAAACTTGTCCACAATCATCATTAGGGTATCTAGTTTAAAAAATGTGTCCGATGATCCCGCCCGCGAACCAAGATGGCCAACATGGCTAAAAAATAGTACATAGGGTAAAATGCAGTTTTTGGCTCATATCTCTGAAACCAAAGCTTTTAGAGCAAATCTGATGAGGATAAAATTGTTCATTAGGTCAAGATCTATCTGCCCTGAAATTTTCAGACCAATCAGGCAACCCGTTGTTGGGTTGCTGCCCCTGAATTGGTAATTTTAAGAAAATTTTGCAGCTTTTGGTTATTATCTTGAATATTGTTATAGATAGAGATAAACTGTTAACAGCAATAATGTACAGCAAAGTTAGATCTACAAATAAGGCAACATGACCAAAATTGTCAATTGACCCCTTAAGGAGTTATTGCCCTTTATAGTCAATTTTTTACAATTTTCATAAATTTTGTAAATTTTTGTAAATTTTTTAACAAAGTATTTTCCACTGTAACTACCAGGCCAAGTTCATTATAGATAGAGATAATAGTAAGGAGCAAGAATGTTCAGTAAAGTAAGATCTACAAACACATCACCATCACCAAAACACAATTTTGTCATGAATCCATCTGTGTCCTTTGTTTAATATGCACATAGACCAAGGTGAGCGACACAGGCTCTTTAGAGCCTCTAGTTTTATAATAAAGTCAATAAAATATATACTGTAAATTCAAAAATTATTGCAAGATTTTTATTAATGCGACTGGATGAGTATCGCAGTAATAAGTACTTGCGTTTTGATATCTGATACACATATACCTGTATGCCATTGTATGCAGCTTTTCCTGAAATTGCATTATTTTTTATAATTCTTCATAATTGCAGTAATAAATGCCAGCAATAATTTCTGAATTAACAGTTGTTTGTTTACACTGGTACCAATTTTTACAATAGGTCATGTGTCAAGTTTTGTTCCATTATGTATGATCTTCTTGATGTATTCATATTAACTGTTTACATTTGAATAAAGTACATTTAAATTCTACCTACAAATTTAATGTAGTGTTAATCTTTGGTGCATATTAATTTTTTTTTTTTTTTTTCCCCTGAACTTTCTCTTATCTAGCAGCATACATATACAGATACACTGTATAATCATAAAAAAAGTGAGTGATTCAGGTCTTGGTTATTTAGCCAGTCACTTTATGTGTATCAACATGATCAAGCTTGTTGTTAATTTCAGGACTGTTTTGGTTAGAATGGAAAGCCTAGCAGGGACTGGGCACAAGATCAACAGACTTCGACCAAAACAATTTACAGGTGGAAAATTTGAAGTTCTCAGTCATGACCCATTTGGTAAGTTTTATAGTTTATAATTATCATAATTTGAAATTGAAATTTGTTGATTGGATAAAATATAATAACATTTCTTCAATTTTTCTGAACAGCTTAATGTTCTTATAAATAAAGTATGTGTAATACAAATGTCATAAATGGATGACATAATCCTGAATTATATTTACATTTTTTTTTAAACAGAACATTTCCAGCATTTCTCAAAACTTTCTTTTTAAGCTTACCTTGCCCAAATTGCCTTCAACAATAAGCAAAACCCATATGTATACCCAATAGTAAGCTATAAAAGGCCCCAAAATGACATACTAGAAAACAACATTTTCATGGTTCATAACCAATCATTGGTCAAAGTTTATGTGTGTAGGCCTGTTTCTATAAGCAATAGGTTAATTAGTTTTGGTGTATGAAATGATTGTAAGGTACACATGCGGGTCTGGCAGGATTCATCTGATCTTTAATAATGTAAAGTTTATGTGATACTTGTAGTAAAACCTTTATCTTAAAAACTATGTTGAGTTTTGTGTACTGTTGTTTGTTGGTCCTTTTCTTTTTACCCATGGCGTTGTCAGGTTATTTTCAACTTGTAAGTTTGAATGTCCCTTTGGTATCCTTCGCCTCACTTTTTCAACATAAAATCAATTATTAGCAGTAAAGAAGGCAAGAAATTTCAGCGTGTGCACTCTTGTTACTGTTTTTGCAGTTTTGACTGTTATCACAAAAACAATAGGAGCTAGCTATATACATTAGTTTAACATGCAAATTGCCAAAATGGTGAGCAACAGAAATAATAACTAGTATACATGTGCATATGAATGTCGTCATTAGCAGACTGGATATATTTCACCAGGTGAGTGATACAGGCACATGTGTGCATTGTGTTTACAATAAATGCCAGTGGTTTATAATTTTTTATAGAAAGTATTCATAATTTTTTTAGAGAAAGTACCGGTATTCATAATAAGATATAAGATAGGGAAAATGAATGTTTGGTCTATTCTAAAAAAGATATTGAAAGTTTTTTACATTTCAGTTTATCTGTGATTTGTTTACATTATTCAAGGTTATTTTCCTCTTTTTATAGTACAACAAACAGTTTTATACAGAGAAATAAAGAAACTAAAGACAATACGGAAGCTGCCAGGAATGCACACCAAAAAATGAAAATAGACTGCATAAATAAACAGTTCAATTATTGATAGTTGTGTACCCTGACACTGATTCTCTGTCTGCACATGAGAATAAACTCTTTTAATAGTGTGTTAGTTGAAAGGAATAAATTATTTTTCCACTGCAGTGGTACTAAAGCAGTCTTGTTTTCTTCAATTTGTGAATATTGTGTTACTTGTACTGGTTAATTGCTTCAAGATGATGATAGATATGTTCCAATTGTAACCACAACCCTGTCTTCTTTTCCTCAAATGTGACATTACCGAATTTGTACTGACATGAGCAACACAATGGGGGACACGTGTGGAGCAGGATGTGCTTACTCTTCTCTAACACCTGACATCCCTACAGTTTTTTATAGGGTTTCTGAACCTCCTTTATATAAGATCCATAATAAAAATGATGTATTTGAGAAATATTAATTTAATAAACATTGTGGATTCAGTGCTAGATATTTAGATGATAATGCCAGACTAGTGAAAAATATAATTTTGTTACTTTAAATGACAATTTAACACTTTCCTTACTGATTAGTTTTTTTCCACGACTTTGTGTGGCCTGTAGCGCTCTCACATGTACAATTCTTGGCAGATTTTTTAAAAACTTATACTATAGGTTTATATATGCAATGTCTTGGACGAGTTCAAAAATCAGTGCTGATGAACTATTTCTAAAAGAGTTATGCCCCTTGGAAACATTAATTAGTCCCCAGTCCCCTAACGACAAAGTTGAAGGGAACTTTAGGTTTGCACTCTGTCCGTCTGTCTGTCCATCCGTCAGTCCGGCAAATCAGTTTTCCACACTTTTTTTCTTCGTGCTTAAAGATATTGATATGATATTACATTGATATGATATTTAGTATATCGTTTGATCTAAGTTAAAATTTTGTTCCGGTCTGATGATTTTGTACGGAGTTATGGTTCTTGGACTTAGTAAATTCAGGCAAATAATCAGTTTTCTGCACTTTTTTTCTTCATGCTTAAAGACATTGATTTGATATCTAGTATGTAGTTTTATCATGACTAGTTACAGATCGAGTTCAAATTTTGTTTGGTATGGATGATTTTTTTTTGGCAGAGTTATGGTCCTTGGACTTAGAAAATTCACTCAAATAATCAGTTTTCCACACTTTTTTTTGTTATGCTTGAACATGTTGAAGATATTGATTTGATATTTGTTATAAAGTTTACACCATGACAAGTTATAGATCAAGTTAGCATTGTGTTCAAGTACAATAGATTTTTTAACTGGTAGGGGACTATGTATTGCCATGCAATACTCTCAGAATGCTTGTTATATGCAAAATTGTATCGTCAGCACTCTCATGTGTACAATTCTTGCCAGATTTTTATGAAACTTTTATTGTAGGTTTATATTAGCAATGCCTCAAACGAGTTCGAAAATCAGTGCCAATCAATTATTTTTAAAAGAGTTATGGATGGCCCTTGGAAACATTAATTATGTGCAAAATTGCATCGTTAGCGCTCTCATGTGTACATTTCTTGCCAGATTTTTATCAAACTTATATCATAGGTTTATATCAGTAATGTCTCAGACGAGTTTGAAAATAATTGCTGATCATTTATTTTTAAGAGAGTTATGCCCTTGGAAATATTAATTTTATGGAAAATTGCCTTGTGAGTGCTCTCATGTGAACAATTCTGCCAGTTTCTTATGAAATTTATATTATAGGTTTATATCATCAATGCCTTGGATGAGTTCGAAAATCTGTGCCGATCAATTATTTTTTAAAAGAGTTGTGCCCCCTGGAAATATTAATTATATGGAAAATTGCATCGTTAGCGCTCTCATGTGTACAGTTCTTGCCAGAATTTTATGCAACTTATATCATAGGTTTATAACAGCAATGTCTTTGACACTTTCGAAAATAATTGCTGATCAAATATTTTTAACGATTTATGCCCTTGGAAATACTGTATTAATTATATCAGAAATCACATTGAATTTGCTCTGAAGCATTCATTTCTCTAAGATATTGATGAACAATTTTAATGAACAAAAAAAAAGGGTGTATTTTTTAGTTATTGCCCTTGTACCTTGGATAGATAAAATATGTGCAACATGGGGGACATTGGAACTCTGTTCTTTTATTAAAAGAAAATTCACTTCTCCCTATGATTCTGAGGTAGTGTGAACCCCATGTAGGGTAAAGGCATATCATTTTCAAATTCTTGACTATACAGCATATTTTCAAACATTGTTGTCATATACTTACTTCTCTTAGAACAAATGAACTGCCACAAAGCCTATTGAAAAAAAGGGGCCTCTGTGGCCGAGTGGTCTAAGTAGTCCAATACTGTATCACTAGCCTGTCAACACTGAGGTTGTGAGTTTGAGTCAAGCACGTGGCTAGGGCGTTCAACTCCCATCTTGATTGACTATGATTGTTAGTTTTCCCATTGAAGGCTGGCAGTTCTCTCTGGGCACTCCTGCTTCCTCCTCCAATAAAAACTAGCCACCATGAAATAGTTAATAGTACTGAAAGTGGAGTTAAACACTAATCAACCAATCAGTCTTGAAAACATCATGGTAACATGAAAATGTAAAGAAATTGTGTCCCATTATGGCAGTATAAATTGAATGTTGAACTAGTGTTTTACAGAAGTTTAATGAAATTTACTGTGGATACAAAATTGTTGAAAACTATTGAAACTCACCTCAAAATAAAAGATTTTGTTTAAAAAAGTGATGTGTTATCAAAATGTTAAGTACCTTTGAATTATGGAGTTGCATAACAACAGCTGTGCACTCTGAAATTAATCTCACACAGTTGATATTAAAAATATGAACATGAAATATGCTCACCTCAGTGTTAATTGAGTTACTATACCGCAGGCTACGAGTAAGGTTGGGGTATATAGTTTTTTCCCAGTCGCATATAATGAGAGGAAGATCCCTAATAATTTTGAGGTCACCAAGATCAAGGTCGTAGTTACTAAAAATAGACTGAAATTTCTTCAGAAAGAGGTTTTCAGATGCTAAACCAAAAACTACATATTGGATTGCTACTTTACATGGATATATGATAGAGGAAAACCCCTGTAGATTTTTAGCCCACTGCATTGGAGGTCAAGGTCAAAGTTGCTATAAATAGACTGAAGTTGTTCAAAACAGAAGTTTCCAGATGTTTAAACCCACTACATATGGGATTGCAACTTAAATTGGATATATGGCCACATATAATGAGAAGATCCCTATTTACTTTGAGGTCACCACATCAAAGGTCAAGGTCATAGTAGCTAAAAATTTGTAAAGAAAAGTGGTTTCCAGATGTTAAATCAAATACTTCATATTGGATTGCAACCTTACTTGGATATATGGTCACATATAATAGGAAGATCCCTATTGATTTTTAATCACTATGTCTAAGGTCAAGGACAAAATTACTTAAAACAGATTTGTGTTTTATAATATTTCTGATTGAAATCATAACTCAAAAGAAACATATCTTAACATGTACTGTAAAGGTTTATTTTTGCAGAGTTTCTTGTTTGAAAAGTTTTATTTTTCGCATTCTCAATGTGTCTGATTCTAATCTTTCATGAAGATTAAATTTACACATAAAGATATTTTTTGCAATTTTACCTTAATCGTGAAATTACCGGTAGCATAAATAAACCTCTCTTGAAATTTTTCCACTTTAACAGTATACAGGGAATGATTTTATACTATTAGAAAAAGTTGTTTAACCATGACACTTGTGAATTTATTTGTCCCAAGTGAGGAATAATTTCATATAATTAATAATTTTTGTTTGTTTGTAAAAAATAACAACTTTTTCATCCTTTTCTCTTTGACTTATGGGCTAAATTTAACTAAATTTTTAAAAAAAGGTAAAAACATCATGCAAAGGCAAAAAGTCCTGGAAGAAGTTGACTGATGTATTCAACAATGCTGACTTATTTTTATACGACCGCAAAAAAATTTTGTGGTCGTATATTGGTATGACGTTGGCGTCGTCGTCGTCGTCGTCCGGCGTCGTCGTCGTCGTCGTCGTCCGAATACATATTGGTTTTCGCACTCTAACTTTAGTTTAAGTGAATGGATCTTTTTGAAATTTGACCATAAGGTTAAATACCACAAAAGGAAGGTTGGGATTGATTTTGGGGGTTATGGTACCAACAGTTAAGGAATTAGGGGCCAAAAAGGGGCCAAAAATGAGCATTTTCTAGTTTCCAGACAATAACTGTGGAACGGTGTATGGATCTCTCTGAAATTATACTACAAGTTTCCATACCACAAAGGGATGGTAAGGATTTGCTTTGGGGGGTTATGGCTCAAACCGTTTAGGAATTAGGGGCAAAAAAGGGGGAAAAACAAGGTTGTCCTGGTTAATGGACAAATACTTTAGTACAAAACATAATTTAAAGCAGTGTAAGGGAGATAAATCAAATACATCATTGAAATTATCTCCCTTACACTGCTTTTAAATTATGTATAAAGTAATGGTTAATGAACAATAAAGATAATCTAAAACAGTGTAAGGGAGGTAATCCAAATACAACGTTTTGGTTACTTCCCTTACACTGCTTTTAAATTATGTTTAAAGAAATGCATATTTATAAAGGAAGACCAGTAAAAATATCTGCAAATGTTTTCATCTTTTTTTTTTACAAAAAAATCCATATGAAAGATTTGACACTATATTTTTATTAATTCTATTATAAAATAGATTAAGTTAGCACTATGGTAAATTTAAATGGGTAATTATGGTTGCCAACTCCATTGGAAATTTGAATTGAGATTATGACCATATCTTGAGGGAAAGAATTTTTTTGGGGGAAAAAGGGGGGGGGGGATAAAAAGAAATTGTGGGGGGCCAATTTTTTCTCATTTCAGATTTCAGAAATTAAAAAGAATTATTCTTCAAATATTATTTTTTTTTCAAATTTCAAATATTGAAAAATTTCAAGAAGTAATCTTTAATTGCACAGTATGGCGCATTAGATTTGTAAAATCTTTGATCACATTTACTTATTTGTTATGCCAAATCTAACAGTGTATTTAGATTTATAATTTTGGGTCCAGTTTTCAAATTGGTCTACATTAATGTCCAAAGGGTCCAAAATTAAACTTTGTTTGATTTAAGCAAAAATTGAATATATGAGGTTCTTTG